AGAGAGAGAGAGAGAGAGAGAGAGAGAGAGAGAGAGAGAGAGAGGACCGCACAGTCGGCGTGCGCCAATTGAGTCTAACATTGCCGAGTCTAATTCAATTATCCCCATTTATTCCATTCGATACGATGCCAAGACAACAGCACCAGCACCAGCAGCAGCAATTTGCATTTCGACAGCACCAGTTATTTGCTGGATGTGAAGGAACTGGAGGGACAATTGGCAGCAGTTTGGCAGCAGCACCAGCAGCAGCACTGTTGCCGTACCAAAAGTCAGCAATCGCTGTCGTCGTCATTTTCTTTGGTGCCGTCGATCATTTGAGCCACCAAGAGGCGGACAGCAAGGACGGCAAAGTCGGGCGAACAGTGTCAAAAAGCGGTAAACGCGGCAAACGTGGCAGCAGTGAGCGTCCGAAGAGAGAACATGGTTGAGGATGCGTTCGGTCAGTGCGACGACAATCGATTAATTTGCTGGCGCTCGATCTCCTTCTCTCCCCAGCACGGTTCTGTTGTCATCGGTGTCAGCTTTCTGCTGCAGTCTAATTGAACTTTTAATTACCCACTTTAAAAAGCTGTGGCACTTAATTACAGGGCCTCGAAATATAGTGAAGGCTTTGAGTCGGTGAGAAATAGAGGAAAAAAGCCTTGACGTAGAGCGCACACCGTGCGGCCCAAAGAGAAACACGAGATGAGGAGCTCCCTTGTTCGACCGAGTCAAGAAAAATGACCATCGCTGCTTTCTCGGTGCGCCAAGACTAGCGGTGCTGCATTGGGCAAATAAATCACCGCACGATAGATTCACCGAAAAAGAGATCGAATCGAGTGGCAGGCAGACAGACAATGAAGAAGGAGGCAAAGGCAAATGCGAATGAAAAGGAGGAGGAGGCGGAGGTGTGCCGGCCAATAAATTAAAGCGCAGAGTTTCCTCTTTTTTCGCTGCAAGACAAATTTTCATCTACATTGTTTACATTGATCCGCACACATATACACCGAAACAGACACACACACAATCTATCACCGGTACCATTAAGGAGGAAAGCCGAGCGAAACGAGACCGACAAGACAACGAGGTAGAACACCACACACACACCAAATCGAATACCAAGTTAATTAGATCATTTGCAGATTAATCATCACTGTCTGACTGGACTCAAAGTTTTTTCTATTTTACGATCAAGGCATTGATTATGGTTTTAAAGTTGGCCAAGCTGGCTTTCATCCAGTGCACACATACCTGTCTTGATTGTCATCCACTTTGGTTCATTAATAATAACGGTGCTGGAGTGGCAAATTAAATTAAATCATTAACTTCTAGTGATTAAGTGAGCGGTGACAGTTTATCATTACCTGAAGTTTGTGTTGCCAAACTTTGGTTAGCTAGTATTTTGCTTGGCTGAATGTCAATTGGCTACTGCTGCTTGATGTTATCAGATGACTTACGCGGTTAACGACTTGGAGATTGAAAAATTCAAAACAAAAAAATAAATTCAGTCTGAGACTTGCAGCGACACCTACTAGCGAAGAAACAAACTAGTCTGCTGAGCATGCTCTCTAGCGTCGGCGTGGTCGATTCGCGTGGCCAGCTTCCCACTGTTGATGCTTCTCGTCTGCTGAAGAGAGATCATCGCCACCGCAACCCGGCTTCCTCCAAAAGCAATCATCCCTGATTTTGTTGTGTGTGTTTGTAGACAGCAGTCTCACTTTGTTTGACCTCTCAAGGATCACCAGAAGCTTCAACTGTGCACCATGCCACCCAAGAAGGATCAAAAGGAGCCGGAGAGAATTCTCATCGGACGCCTTGGTACCAATCTGAAAGTCGGTATTGTCGGTGTTCCAAATGTCGGGTAAGATTGTACAGTTGATTATGGTTTTCAGTTGAAATAATCTGACGTTTATTTGTACGACAGAAAATCGACCTTCTTCAATGTCTTGACTCAAAGTCAAGCTGCCGCTGAAAACTTTCCCTTCTGCACAATAGATCCCAATGAAAATAAGTATCACGAGATTTAGTTTTCAAAATAACAAGTTGAAAGTTGTGCAAAAACTAACTGTTTGCTTGTTTTATCATTTTACGTCGTGTTCCCGTGCCTGACGATCGATTCGACTTTCTCTGCGAGTACCATCAACCGCTAAGGTAATTTCTGTAAACAGCAGTTGATTTGTGATTAATTGTGAGTTATTTGAACAAAAGCAAAGTGCCGGCTTTTCTGAACGTGGTCGACATTGCTGGACTTGTCAAGGGTGCCAGTGAAGGCCAGGGTTTGGGAAATGCTTTCCTCTCCCACATCAAGGCTTGTGATGCCATTTTTCATCTTTGCCGTGAGTTTACCCAGTGTTCCCATTCGTTTTGATCACACTAACTTTGTTTGTAATGTAGGTGCCTTCGAGGATGACGACGTGACGCATGTTGAGGGAGAAGTGAATCCGGTCAGAGATATTGAAATTATCAACGAGGAACTTCGATTGAAGGACGAGGAACAGCTGATGGCTGCTATTGACAAGCTTGGCAAGACTGTTCTTCGAGGCGAGAAGAAGGACAAGCCCGAATACGTAAGTGATAAACTAAATTACTCAATAAAAAAACCTTAAACTAAAACCAACTATACATTAGGACACTTTGATGAAAATCAAAGAGTTGCTGGTTGACCAGAAGAAGCACATTCGCTTTGGGGAATGGAATGCCAATGACGTAAGTTGATAGTTTTTTTTATCAATGTACAGATTGTAACTTTGGCATTATTTTGCAGATTGAATTTTTGAACAAGTACCTATTTATTACTTCAAAGCCCATGGTTTACCTGGTTAACCTTTCTGAGAAGGACTACATCCGTAAGAAGAACAAATGGTCAGTGGACATTTAATTGTTTGTTTATCTAAATACTCAGACTTTTACTTTCCAGGCTTATCAAGATGAAGGAATGGCTCGACAAAAACGATCCTCATGCAGTGCTAATTCCGTTCAGCGGAATTTTTGAAAATAAACTTGTTTCAATGTCACCTGAAGAGAGGAAGAATTTCTGTGAGGTGAACAACACTTCAAGGTAATTTAGACCAGTAATGTTTAAAGTCTGATAAAGGTAATTTTTTTTCTTAATTTCAGCGCACTAAGCAAGATTATTGTTACCGGTTACAAGGCTCTTCAGCTATGTTACTTTTTCACCGCCGGCAAGGACGAAGTAAAAGCCTGGACTATTCAGGTAAACAATTGTGCTACTTTTTCTTTTTCTTGACTCACAGTTTTGCTTACAGAAAAACACCAAAGCACCTCAAGCCGCAGGTCGCATTCACACCGACTTTGAGAAGGGCTTCATCATGGCTGAGGTAATGAAGTTTGATGACTTTAAAGAGGCCGGCTCTGAAAATGCTTGCAAAGCGGCCGGTAAGTACCGGCAACAGGGCCGCAACTATGTCGTCGAAGATGGCGACATTATTCTCTTCAAGTTCAATGCTGGCGCTGGCCTTCAAGCAAAGAAAAAGTAAAGAGTACTCTGTGTCACACGCGAGCTTGATCACCACGCTTCAATTAATCGCGCTGAATTTGAACTTTGCTTTATTTCAACATTAAATAAAAATGACTTGAAGTTGGGTGCCGACCAGAGCTCCCAACTCGAGAGAATGTGAAACTGGTATTTACAAATGGCAATGTACAGAGAGGGTTAATAAATAGTAATAACAAAAGAATGCATGTACAGAAGAAGGAAAGAGAGGGGGCAGCTTAGCTGATCCGAATCGCAGTTTGATCACAATTTTTCACCAGTCGGTTGTGGCTTGATAATGTTGTAGTAGCCATGTTCGGGGAATCTGTCCAGCTCGATGTAGTCATTCTCAGAGTAGAGAATCTTGTCCAGGAGGGACACAAGCTCGGAGAAGGTGGGACGCTTGGCGGGGTTCTCATTCCAGCAGTAGTACATGATGTTGAAGATTTCACGCTTACAGTGCTCGGGCTTTTCCAGGCGCTGGCCCTCGCAGACCTTCTTGATGACCTCGGCCGCTGAGAAGCCCGGATAGGGGGTCCAGCCCAGGGTGACAATCTCCCACATGAGGACGCCTGCAAGAACATAAAGAATTTGTTTAGAAATGAAAAAATAGTTAACATTACGCAACACTTACCAAAGCTCCAGACGTCACTCTTGGTGGTGAAGATAAAGTCAGTGAGTGACTCTACGGCCATCCAGCGAATGGGCAGACGGCCCTCTGACTTGCGCTCGTAGACGTGGTCGTACTTGGCAAAGCCAAAGTCGGCAATCTTGCAGACGTTGTTGTAGCCCACCAGAATGTTGCGAGCTGCCAGGTCTCGGTGGATGATCTGGGAGAGAAGAAAGAGAATAAATTAGTCAAGGCCTGCTTGAAATTAGTGTCAATAGTAGTCGTACCCCCTTGGAGGAGAGGTAGTCCATGCCCTTGGCAATCTGGTAGACGTAGGAGATCAGGTCATTGGAGGTGAGCGCACTGCCGTTGACGTTGCCGTAGCCGTTCTCGCCCCTCTTCTGACGCAGGTAGCTCTGCAGTGTTCCATTGGGAATGAACTCCATGAGGAGCAGCACTGGGTCCTGCTCGGCACAGCAGCCAATGAGCGTGACCACATTGGGATGCGGCTCCAGCATCTTCATCACGTCGAGCTCGTCCAACAGGTCCTCCTTCTCCTTCTGCGTGGCGTTCTGCTTGAGCGTCTTCACGGCGACCACCTGTGAGCTGCCGGTGTTGCCGATGTTTACTGCCTCGCACTTCCACACCTGACCGAAGCAGCCCTCGCCGAGGATGTGAATGAACTTGAGGTGGTGACGCGGGAACTCCCACTCGCTGTCGGTCACCTTGAGGAGAGATCGATCGGAGCTAATCTCCTTACAGGCGAGGGACTTTTTAGTGCGAAAGAGTGCTCCGTTGTAGTCGCTGGTGCTTCCACTAGAGAAGGAGGAGCTAGTCGTGGAGGTGGTACTGTCCGAACTGTCGGATTTGTTGTTGTTGATAATTTTGTGCGAAAAGGTTTTGATGGCGTTTCGAGTTGGCACATTTCGCTGACACTTGTAGGTGACCCAGGCGACAAAGATGACAAAGGGCACAAAGAGAACCAGCGACAGGAAGGGCAGTATGGTGGTGAGGATTCGCATGAGCTTTGAGGAGGTGTCCTCCTCAAAGTCAGCATTTTGCTCTGATGATCCACCGCTGATGTCCGCTGGAAGAGATTCGTTTCGTCTAGGATTGTTCAGCGGATCTGCCGGCGGCTTTTCCTGTGGACGGGGCGTTGTGGACGTTGTCGGAAGTTCAAACACGGTGTCTTTTGGTTTATCCCTAGGCGGGGACATTTGCGGTGTCAGCCTGGGGCCACTGTTGACGAAGTGATGGGGACTGCTTCCGAGTGGCGGGTGAAACGACGGCATTGAGCTGCCGTCATTGGAAACTTCGTTAATTCGCACCCTGCATTCGAGGGAGGCCTGAAAAGAAGAAGAGAACAATTAGAGGTGATGGAAGACTTATTTATGTTTTCCTTCATCACTTACCTTGGTTGTGCTTCCCGGCACCTGTGCGAACACGAAANATTCGAGGGAGGCCTGAAAAGAAGAAGAGAACAATTAGAGGTGATGGAAGGCTTATTTATGTTTTCCTTCATCACTTACCTTGGTTGTGCTTTCCGGCACCTGTGCGAACACGAAAAAGTAGAAATCCTGGCCGCCCTGTCGAAAGGTGATTGTTAGATTTTGACAGTAATGAAAAAAGGTACTACTAAAGCTGTTGCTGCTAAGAGAGAACACAATGCCAATTGCATTGCGTATAAAGTTTGTCGACGGATGGATGGGCAGAGTAGAAACTTGAACTAGATTACCACCAGCACCATCACCAGCACCACCACCATCACAGTCATTTACGGGTCCGCACATCCCGCAAGACTACAAAGATGGTGGCGGCGGCGGCGGTGGATGAAGAAGAAGCGTGACGCCAATTGAGAAGACGGCGCCTTCTTCAATTGGCGCCTTGGCGAACTCATCACAATGCTTGCAGCTGTCTCAGACGACGGCAGACAGCTCACTCAGAGTCGACCAGGCAGTGTCAGTCGCAGTGGCTTCGGCGTCGGCGTCGGCGGCGGCCTAGTGGCAAAGTCTAATTGCGCTGCACAGTAATCAGGCTAATTAATATTATTGTTACTACTGGCCAATTTATTTCTTGATCAGTCAGAGAGAAAGAACACAAAGAGTTGCTTGGTGTTGCTCTGTGAGCACCGGCGCCAGCCAGTCAGCTGCTGCTGCGCTGAGAACTGAACTGAACTGAACTGAACTGAACTGAACTCTCTCTCCGGCAACTGTTGCCACTGAACTGCTACTAAACACTGCTGAGCAGTGACAATTCGGTGCAAGCAATTAAAGGTCCATTTGCATTTGCTCATGTGCCCAAGAGGCAGGAGTGTGGAGAGGAGGAGAGGAGAAAGATCAGCAGTAGACTCTGGTCGCGCACAATTCCACCTGTGCACTCGACCATTGGCGTAGTGCGCCTGCTGCTGCTGCTGCCGAAGTCTCCTCGTCTTGGGCAGGTGGACGCGCCTGGCGTCGTCCGCCTGGCTGCCTGATTGTTTGTTCACTCGGGCGCAATTTGTGTCATCTCGCCGCGGCAGCACACTGGGAAAGTGTACTGAAGCAGGCGATTGTTGTTTGGAAAAGTGTGCTAGATAAGAAAGCTGTGCCATCGGAAGAAAGGGAACATGTGTGCGGGAGAGCAAAGATGGCGAACGAAGCAGAAGCAGAAGAAGTAGAAGTAGAAGTAGAAGTAGAAGAAGGATGAAGCTGACTGCTACTAGTTGATGTTAGTTAGTGATGGTGAAGAAGAAGCGCACGGGAAAATAGAAATGCGGTCACGCCTTGGGGTTGAATGCTCCCTACTAATGGGCGACGATAAAAGCGAAGATGCGCCCGGTGATAGAGTGCCCTGGTGGCAAACGGCGGAGAGAGAGCAGATCAGAGAGTGGTCAGGCAACAGCAACAGCAACAGCAGTACTCGAAGAAGAAGAAGTGTGAGAGGCAAAGAAATCGAAATGCTATTTTTAGGGAAAGGCCAACTCTGGCGAAGAAGTGCAGTTGCGGTCAAGTGGAACGTGACACAGTAAACGACAGCACGCACATCAGCCACTTTTACGACTACTTTAGCTACTGACAACAAGGACGTCACACAACCCACAGCGGACACCAACACAAACATACCGGACAGAAGCACTAAAGGATCAGCTGCAGCTGCTTTTCCTCCCAGACAGCTGTCTGCACATGCTCTTGGTCTCACTTTAGTAGTGGTAATCAGTGAGCAGTGTCATTACCGTGTCAAACGGAAAAAACTCCCAAGTTCCAAAATGATTCGAAAGAAAGGGAAACAGTAGCCATCGAAAGGGGAGAGAGAGCAAAAGACACAGACGCTCATTACACACCGTTGCCTTCACTTGCTGTGGAAAATCCAAGGAAAGTAAAGAAAACGGCGGGCAATCAATCAGTGAGGAGTAAAAGCAATAATTAGACTGTGTGTGTGTGCAGTGCTGCTAGTGGCGAGTGCTACCTGCAGCGTTAGCAGGTCAGAACTGGTCGTCCGACTGGACGCGGGATGCGCCGCACACCTGAAGACAGTGCAGTGGCAGCTAATGGCGGACAAATCATGAACATTGGAGGGTGTAGTGCTGCCAGCAGACAGGCAGACTGGCAGGCTTACTGGCAGCGGTTCTCAAATGGCTAGTGTGCTTGGCTGCCAAAAGGAGGTTAGCCCACTGTCGAAACAATGTAAGGCGAAAGGTGAGGCAGCCAAGTGAAAGCAGCAGTCAATCCCGAGCAACACCAGCTGTAGGTGTGCAAGAAAGAAAGAAAGGCGATGCATACACATAAGCAAAACACTTACCAAGCCTTTCAGTGATTCCTTTACGTAGAACTCTCCGCTTTTTTCGTCCACTCGAAAATACCGAGAGCCATCTTTGAAGGAACCAGGGGCGATGTGGAAGGTGACTGGGCCCCCGACGACGGCCACCCTAAAGACGCGCATTCCTGGAAGAGGAGGAAAAGGAGGAGGAAAAGGAGAAGATGAAACAGTGATGATGGTAGTGCACAGGTGCAGAGAAAAGAAAATGAAGTAGATGAGGATGGAGATGAAAGATGAAAAGTACAATAGCCTTTAGCAGCCCATCCAATTGCGGCCAAGTGGATGCGGGCGAGTGGTGCATGCATGCATTCCAATTGACAAGAGCACAGATGGATGGAGTGCAGTGGCAGGCAACTATTGCCGGGCAGATAGATAGACAGACAGAGAAAGAGAGAAGAACGGTATTTAAAAATAGTTACTTACCGATGGGGTCATTTTCGTTGACTACGAAATCACGATGAGTGGTGAATGTTGGCGGTGGTCGTAAGTCAATGCTGGACGCCGCTGTGTGAGGGAAGGAAGAAGAAGAAGAAGAAGAAAAGAAAAATATGTCTTACAACGGGGCACTGACAACTCGGCTTGGTAATGTTTGTCTGTCTGTCTGTCTGTCTGTGTATTATGAGTGAGAACGAGTTTACTGCCATATTTTTTGCTGTCGTCGAGCAGGCCTCTAGTTGGCCTGACTCTGTCTCTACTGGATTGTGGCGAAATCGTGCTACTAAGCTAGTTAAGATGTGTCACGGTGTCTATTAGAGTGTCCATCCACTCGGACAGACTCGGGCAGTGAGAGAAAAAAGAGACACTGGCCAACCGTCTAAACGGGCAAATACCGTTGACATGGATGCAGTTGGCATTATCATTACTTTGCATTTGCTGTGTCCGAGTGCGGCACGAAACGGTCAGACAACAACAGCTCGGCAGACAGACAGTCTTTTTCGTTGAACCGTTGTCCGCAGTGACCAAAGAGTGCAACTCACGCCAACACACTAATTTCCTGCTACTTTACTGTCTACTTGACAAGTAGTGGCGGATTTTTCCCAAAGTGAAATCATCGGAACGTTCAAACACTCAACTGCTGCTGAAGCGCCTGGGAATTACCGAGCACAAAGTGAAAAGCCGATTTTGGCAGCACATAAAAACTGTTGCATGAGATGGTGAAGGCTAAGATTGGCCGATTAAAATAGCTGAAAAGGGTAAATAACAATAAATTGAAGCAACTGTCAAGTGGCGGTAATCATAAGAGAGGACAGTGCATCACCGACAGTGTCAGCAACAGTGTCTGACTTGGGTAATCAGATAAGTGCTCAGGTCTATGTTTGTGATGATGACGGATTCGACAATCCTGTTTGATGGTTTGGCAGGTAAAGAGGTGTGAGAAATGGAGAGAGAGCAAGCAGCAAAATGACTGATAAGAGGACAGGTAAACTCAAAATTGTTGTCATCAACGACACCACTTTTTCCATCTTCAAAACTGGTAGTACTTACCATAGGGTTTGGCAGTAATGGCAGCAAGGGAAGAACAGCACAGAATTAATGCAACAAGAAGCTGGTGACAGCTGGCATGAAAAGGCCTACTCAAACGAACAGTTTTCTGTCTTTCTAAAGACATTCTTTGACTGGAGGTGAAAGGTTGGTGGTGCAGCGCAGCAAGGTGGCTGCAAAAAAGGTAAGCTGAAGCTGCAATTTGTGGTTGAGCAGCCAGTTGTGATGAGGCTCGGTGACTGTGTTGCCTCGGCGTGTGACGAATGACGACAGTGACGATTGGAAAAAACAGAAGACGCTGGAGGTGATGGTCATGTGACGAAAAAACAGTGGTACATCTTGGACATCTAAACAACAGGCGATAGGCAAACACAACATACAGGCACAGTGAGTGCAATCAGTGATGGTGCTGATCGGTGCTGAAAGCTAGTGCAAGTTAGCCAGTGCTGCGGAATGCTGTGCCGAGATGATGCTGGAGAACAGAACGAAAGGCAAGAGGCGAAATCAAAGACGGCTGCTGTGTGAGTGAGTGTGTGCAGGTAAGTGCGAGTGGAGTGGCTGGACGGCACCAGGCGACAGACTGAGAGTAAAATCGAGACGGCAAGACTGATCACCGCCAGAGTCAGCTCTCTCTCTCTCTCTCTCTCTCTCTCTCTCTCTCTCTC